ACACACACACACACACACACACACACACACACACACACAAACACACTCACACACACACACACTGACACACACACACACTCACACACACACGCTCACATGAATCCTTGGGGTGAATTTATATTTGCAGATACATTTTATTCTGTTCAAAAAACATACAAGTTATAGACAGTCAGTCAATATGGTGTTTTATAAGTTCCTACTTTAGAAATAAAAACCAGTCTGACCCCAAACTAAAACACAAACAGGTTCTAAACAAGGCCTCACATCTAACATACATTGTCTGACCTAAAATGTCACCACTTCTTTACACTGATAAAGCCTTTAGTTCTTTTAGAACAGTGACTTGAAAGAAATTGAGGGATTTACATATACATATTAATCAATTAAAACCTTCTAACTGATTAAAGATTTAGCAGCATCTTAGGTTTGTTTAGCACATCCTCATCAGTGGTGTGACCCTTTGATCATTTACTTATAAATTCTGTGTCGGATACTACCTATCTAACACCTGAAGAAGGACTGAAGCTCTGAAAGCTTGTGTTTTCAAATAAACTTATTGGACTATAACCTGGTGTCGTGTGATTTCTGGCCTTGTGCACCCCAGTCCAATACCAGCATCTCCACATTCCTCGATGATGGACTGCACACCACACACCAGATCAAGCTCTTTCACAGATGGATCACATCATCTGATGTTCACAGAACCATATCAGCAATATCGATCACTCAAACCCCTCTGAAACCCAGGTATTCCCAGGCAGAACAGAACCAGCCCCCTCTATCAGAATGGAAGTAAGTGGCCCACATGGCAACTGAAAGATTCATTCATTAGCAGATGAGTTTGTACCTCTGGTATTCTGTACTTGTCCTGGGAGTGTTTGATGGGGACAGTGCAGAGGGAGCTTTACTCTGTATCTAACCCTGTGCTGTCCCTGTCCTGGGAGTGTTTGATGAGGGGACAGTGTACAGGGAGATTTACTTAGGAGAGGAGGGGGCCTGTACCTTGGTAAGGGTCCACACTTGAGGAGGGGTAGAAAAGAGGGAATTAAATAAGAAAAGGTGGTGTATTAAAAACATGTGTTCTCAACATTAATGTTTCTTCTTTCTCACACTTTCTCTCTGTTACCTGGAACCTTCTTGTGAACCTTTAGGTTTTGGTTCTTCTTTCTTCACATTCTGAGCAGGGTTGAATATCTCTGAACGAAGCAGTCGTCCTAGCTCCAATTCAATCACATCCAGGCTTTTCCTTCCAAACGTCACCCATGTCACGTATGCACAGAAGGAGTAAAAGCACTAAAATTACCAGAGGAGGACCCTCAATGTGTAGGAGCAACTTATTCAATTCTAAAAAACTATTCAAATTTTATGGAAAATTATTCTTACAATACTTGCATCTTCCAAATCCACGACCACTTCTATCTAGAAGGACAAGGGCAGCAGATACATGGGAACACCACCCCCCGCAAGTTCCCCTCCAAACCACTCTCCATCTCAACTTGGAAATATATCACCGTTCCTTTAGTGTCGTTGAATCAAAATCCTAGAAATTTATACCCAATAGCACTGTGGGGGTAACTATGCCACATCAACTATAGTCAGTAAGTTAGCGTACACTTATCTCCCTGGGACGTTGCTAGTCATGTAGCTAACATTTCTTAGAAATGCGGTCTGTAGCATACTGTTCAAAAACTAACGTTTTTTAAAAAAGTCAATCACCTGCAACAATCCACATATTTTTATTTTTTGGGACGATAAACTGAAATGGAAGTTGGACGGCCATATCACTGAAATATCAGGAGAATTTACAAATTGTAAATTAAATGCTGCCTAATTTAAGATGTGCAACACAAAGTTGCTGTTTGAAACAACAACGGGGAGAATTCGAGACAGTGTGTTGTGCTGCAGAGTGTTAAAAGTTAAAGTGCCAGGACAGAAGCAGTTCAGAAGGTCCTGGAAGAAACAAAAAGGGCAACTCATTGAATCCTGTAGGCTGGCGCTATTTAACTATGGGTCCCCAATAATTTCTCTCCACTGATAATACCCAACAGAGTTTGTTTGTTTGTCTGTGTCTGTCTTGGGTGTGTGTGGGGATTTAACAAAGGGTTAGACTTTTAGCTGGCTGGGTTATATGTTCACCATCTTAGTTTGCCTGTGGTTAGAATTGATTTATTTGTAATCAATAATTCATGTTAAGTACAGAAACCTGATTAGTGTTTTCTAATCACCTAAGTTCATTAGACAGATAAATTGGGGATTTTAAGTTATTTAATTAAATCTTTAACTTCTGCGACAACACTGGGAGAAGTTGGGCTCAGGTATCAGCGCATGTTCCCAAGTGGATCATAACATTTCTGTCTGTTTAGTGTTTTTGAAGTACTTAGTTTAAGTTGCATAGTTATAGATTAGAAATCCTTAATTTTTTTCTGTTCTTTTATTGTAGTTGCATGTTACAATAAATGGTTGTTTATCTGTTATCGATGAAACCTGGTGTGAATTGCTTTTGTCCTGAGTAGCAATCAGTCAGATAACTTGGTCAATATAGCAGCCTCATTGGGACGGCTTGTAGATAAATGAAACATGATTAATGGCACATTCTTCACAGTTAAGTTATAACACTTCACAGAACTGAGAAGTTAATATCTATTTTTTCTCTAATCTAGGACTTAAACTCTCATACAATAAAAATAATATAGTTTGAACCTTTGCCACATGGTTTACATATTCAAATGTTAGCCCTTTCCTCTACATCTCCACCAAGATCATTGTTAGATACAATATTTACATCCTTGGATTGATTTGTTTTCTGAAATATTGTCTGGTAGGTTGCTATCACCTCGAACCTCAGGTCTACCCTTGAGAACATTTGATCCTTTGACCGGAAATGGAGGTGGGGCCAGTGAATTCCTTGTTTGTCACTCACCTCATACAGCTGCCTGTCCTTGAGAGTGGATGAGCCCATTGCCCTGTCAACAAATCCAATCAGTTACTTTGCTTCAACCCAAACCATCACAACAAAATATCAAGCAGCTGTTAGTTTACATAACATCAGGAACAAAGTAGAAGTCAAAGTTTAAGTTAATTTTTGTTAAAAAGGGTTTTACCTTCAACTGAAGAGTTGTTTTCGTGAGCTTGGTGCTTAGAGGTCTGGAGATCCTAACTTTATGCTAGCATTTTTATTAAGGTTTTACAGTCCTTGAAATGAAGTGAAGAGATTTGTAATTCAGTGCATTAGAGAAAGGCAGAGAAAACTGCCGAATGATAGCAGTCTTGGAATTCACAGAGACACAGAAAAACCCAGAATGGAGTCAATCTGTCTGGTTGTGCCAGACAATGGAGGCAGGAATGTTAAACCCTTGAATAAACTCTTGCAAGACTTTTGGAAACTGAGTTGAGGGAACTCTTATTTGGTCTGAAGCTAAAATAATAATGAGTTTAGTTTGCAGTTGATTTTAGGTATCTCAAGTATACCTGCTGAAGAAAAGTACTCAGTACAGAAATTGCCAGAAGGAAGCTGGTTGCAGCTGTGCTAGACTGAACAAGAGTCCTTGATGTTGAGACAGTGGTGAATCTTTGCTGGAGTTTCATTGTAAGGATAAAGTGAAGATGCCTTAGTTTTACCAGACCATAGGCTGCACTCTCATTAGACAGAGATAACCGGTGGTGGTTTAATTCCAGAGTTTTAATTGAATTCAAATTTCACCATCTGCCATGGCAGGATTTGAACTTGGAAGCATTACTTGGGTCTCTAAATTAATGGTTGAGAGATAATACCATTGCGTCCCCCTGCATGTTCATACGTAAAAGAGTCCAAAAGACTCCTGAGCCTCTAAGAACAAAATTTCCCCTTCAATTTGTCCTCAATGGGAGATCCTTTATTTTTAGACAGTGATCCCTTGTTCTAGATTCTCCCACAGGGGGAAATATCCTTTCCACATCTATACTGTCAACACCCAGTCTGCAGGAATAATCGGCATGTTTAGCTGCAAAGTCCATGGGCTGCACTTAATGGAGGTGATGTGCCTCTCACCTATTAGCTGCCTCTTTTCAGTAAGGACCACTGCACCAGCTAACTCACTGAGCAGGGCTGGGCCTGCCCCAGTATCAAGAGCCCCAGATTTGAAAGCCCAGCCTGCTGAGAGTAGACAGTCATTCAGATGTCAATGGCTCCACTGAACAATAGTGCAACTGAGATCACCGTGACGACAGCCAGCACCGTACTCAACCAAGGTTCAGGATCATCGCTGGATCCCCAGTGAAGACCCAACCTCATCGCTTTGGGTCTGAAGTCACATGTAGGCCAGACCAGGTGAAGACAGCAGTTCCCTTCTTCAACGGGCATCAGTGAACCAGATGTGCTTTTACAGCAATCATTAATAGTTTCATGGGCACCATCACTGAGACTAGGTTCATACTCCAGCTTTATTAATTACCTTTAAATGTAAACCATTTCCTTGATGGAATTTGTACCACTGTCCCCATAGTAAGATCTGTGATTCTGAATTACTCGCACTACCATATCCTCCAATTAATAACGTAATAACGCTCCTACAAAGCACTGTAACCACTTTTATATATTAATGACGTGGAGGCAGAAAGTAAATGTACTGTAGCCAAATTTGCAGACAACACAAAAAAAGTGGAAAGGCAAGTTGCAAAGGGGATGCAAGCCGATTATGGAGAGATATTGATAGGTTAAGTAAATAAGCAAAAAGTTGACAAATGGAGTATATTGTAGGAAAATGTGAAATTGTTTATTTTTGGAAGGGAGAATAAAACAACAAAATATTATTTAAATGGATAAAAAAGTGCAGAAAGCTGCCATGCAAAGTGACTTTGATGGGACTTCTGCATGAAAAACAGAAAGCTAGCACACAGAGACAGCAGGGATCAGGAAGGCTAATGGAATATTGGCCCTTATTTCAAGAGGGTTGGAATATAAGAGTAGGGAAGCCTTACTGCAACTGGATAAGGTGCTGGTGAGACCATATCTGGAGTACTGAGAGCAATTTTGGCCCCCTTATTTAATGACATTCCCTGTGTCTGCGTGGGTCTCTGGTTTCCTATCACAGTCCAAAGATGTGCAGGCTAGGTGGATTGGCCATACTCAACTGCCCATAGTGTACAGGTTTGTGCAGGCCAGGTGGATTAGCCAAAGGAAATACAGGGTTAGCGGGTGTTGGTCTGGGTGGGATGCTCTTCGGAGTATTGGTGTGGCTTGATGATCCAAATGGCCCTGCTTCCATACTGTAGGGATGCTAAGGTTCACTAGGAATGGAGGGATTGTTTCATAAACAATGGTTAAACAGTTTGGGACTCTACTTATTGGAGTTTAGAAGAATGAGAGATGATTTTATTGAAATATATAGGATTCTCAGGGGCTGGACAGGGTAAATGCTGAGAGGATGTCTCCCCACATCAGAGAATCTAGGATCAAAGGGCACAATCTCAGAATAAAGGGCCACCAATTTAAGACTGAGATGAGGAGGAATTTCTTCTCTCAGGGGTTGTGAGTCTTTAGAACTCCTTGCCACAGAGAGTTGTGGGGGCAGAGTCCTTGTGTATATTTAAGGTTGAGATAGATAGATTTTCGATCAGTCAGGGAATCGAGGATTATGCAGAAAGGGCAGGAAAGTGGATGTGAAGAACGTCAGAAACAAAAACAGAAGTTGCTTTAAAAGCTCAGCAGGGCTGGCAGCGTCTACAGAGAGAAATCAGAGTTAACTTTTTGGATCGAGTGATCCTTCCTGAGGAATATCAGCATTGAATGGCAGAGTAGGCTCGAGGGGCTAAATGACCTACTCCTGTTCATATTTCTTATACTCTTATGATCTTACTATGTTAAAGGTTATACAAGTTGTTGTTATTGTAAGCATTTCTTTTGCTCAATTTTAACTTCAGCCTTCTAGTGATCTGTGCTTTTGGATGCCCTTCCTTCTTCCAGTTTGGCAAAGTGTCATTGTTTGGTCAGTTGTTCTATTGTGTTTTCATATGGCTCAGTCAAAGCTTGTCTGCTTTGCTTCCCTGAGAAGCACCTTGGGATGTTTGCCTGCATTTAAGGTCCTATATAAGTGACATGTTGTTGTTGTTTTGTGCTCCTGCTGAGGGATATCAGTGATGGGGAATACAAGCAAAGACCTATACTCACTTTCCACATGCCATGTGGTGATGTTTGGCTATGCCAAGGCCCAGTAACATCCTGCAGTATAACTGAGCCAACAGTTTCCGTGCCAAGTCCATTTTAGCAGTAGCCTCAGCTATCTCGATTTGCTCCATAGCACTGAGAATAAGGAGACGGCAAACAGAAAACATGTCACCGCAAAACCTACGATGCTAAACAATAGAACTACCAGCTCCCAGTTTCAACCCTGTCTTCCATCTCTTCCCGGATAACCTCAATGTCTATCACATTCCTCATCATTTCTTAGACAGCACCTTCCAAATCCATAACCACTTCCATCGAGAAGGACAAGGACACAGATACATGGGAACACTACCCACTGCAAGTTCCCCTCCAAGCCAATTGTCATCCTGACATGGAAATATACCGCCGTTCCTTCAGTGTTGCTGGGTCAAAATCCTGGAATTCCCTCCCTAATGGCACTGTGGGTGTTCCTACCAGCAACAACAGTTCAAGAAGGCAGCTGACCCCCACCTCTCAAGGGCGACAAGGGACAGGCAATAAGTGTCAGGCCAACCAACATCTCATGAATGAATAAAAAAAAGTCTAAATGTAGTCGCAGCAAGGTGCTATGTAAATGTAGTAAGACTTCATAATATTTTACTTTAAAAGCTAACATATTATTGGTTTCTCCAATGCACCTGAATATTAATGTTCTGTGATTTGGCTACAAAAATGCTCAGTACTCAGTACTGTTTGCAAACATTTCCCCATCCATTTCACTGTTCAAAAAGTCTCAGAGGCTGCAAATTACATTCACACTAAGAAAGAATTTCACATTTGTGGCAGGAGATTGTGATCATGACAGAATAGTCAGCCGAAATCAAACCATGGCCCCTTTGTCCTTGGCAGTATTTGCTGTATTTTGTGATTTCAATGTCCATCAGCACAGGTAGCCAGTCTGATAGCTCTTGTGAAAGAGAAAGTATGTAAGATAAGCGTAGGGTTAGGGTTTTGGTGTTGGCGGGGGGAGGAGGGTGGTCAGATAACGGGTGGAGGGTTTATCAGGTGGAAGAGTGATAGGTAAGTGATGGTTTAGGGCACATCAGGTTGGCTGGGACTATCCAGTCTGGCAGGGAGAGGAGGTTGTCCTATCCAGCAAAGGGAAGGGGGTGTCAGCACCAGGGGAGCCATGATGTGGAGGTGCCGGTGTTGGACTGGAGTGGACAAAGTCAGAAGTCACACGACACCAGGTTATAGTCCAATGCTTCACCTGACAAAGGAGCAGCGCTCCAGAAGTTTGTGATTTCAAATAAATCTGGTTGACTATAATCTAGGTGTAGAGCTGGATGAACACAGCAGGCCAAGCAGCATCAGAGGAGCAGGAAAGCTGACGTTTCGGGCCTAGACCCTTCTTCATTTCTGAAGAAGGGT